CCCCAAAACCCCAAAACCCCAAAACCCCGCAATGGCTAATATATTAGAATCTAATTATCTAGATTAAATTGAATTAAAAGTAAGGTATCATTTCTTAATGCAAGTTCCATTTGTTAGAGTGTATCCTGTAACGCAGGAAGAGCAGACTGAAGTACTTGAGCATGTAGCACAATTCGAGAGGTATTTATTACAATTTTCACAAAGGTATATAATAGCTTCATCAGAGTCATCAACAACTGGGTTAGGTACTCTCACAAAACCATCTTAGCACTTATCACATATTTAGCCAAATGAGTTACATTCCTTACAACCATAAGTCAATTAGCTGCAACTAAGACATTTAGTTTGACTTATACTGAAGAAATTGTTTTGACCACAATCAGCACATCTAACATACTCCATTTGGTTGGGATTGTAGCTAGAGTGTCCTAATCTATACTAAGCATTGATAAAAGAATTAGTCTCAGCGCATCTGTTACAACCTGGGAATATCTGTGCACAGGTCTTGCATTCATTAGTATCTCCAACAACATAGTTATTACATTGGCAAAATCCTTGATCTTGCTGACTTTAGACTTTAATCCAATTTTTATCGAAATTGCACTAGCAAGCACCAAGGAAAAGAGTTGTTATATTTGAAACACATTGAGTGCAATGAGTACTAGAATCACATTTTTGACAGTTGTGCATCGTTGACGAGCAAGCAATGCATCTTTTTTCAGCATTCATGTAATAGCCGTCTAAACATTGCTTGCAGCCTAAGTTATCACATTCTGCGCAGCCAACATCTCTTGTGCAGCTTAGACATTTTCCTTATGTCAAAACATGAGCATGTGCGCATTTCAAACATACTCCATTGTTATCACACTATGCACAATATGAATCTGGATCACATTTCTGGCATTGCCCATCTATATTGTAGAATCCATCATAGCAAGACTAACAAACATTAGCATCGCTTCCACAAGATTTACAATTAAAATCTAAACAGTCAAGACAAACTCCATTTTTAATACCTTGGCCTGAAGTGCACTTTCTACCATTCAAGTTATCCATTCCTAATCCAATAAAGAAGAAGAATGTAGAGAAAGCAAGAGCACTAATAAATACGGAATGCTTGAAATTTCTATGTCTTTTCTCTTCCTCATTTAATGGCTGTACTTCATAAGTATTGTCCATTCCTTCCTTCCTAAGCTTTTGGATTCTTTAATATTCACAGTAGATTATAAGGAATTCCAAAAATATCTCTAGAATCACAAGAATCTAAATAGCAAGTGAGTAATTTTGTAACCTATTCATAGTCTTTACTTTTAGAGTGTTGTTAGTGGTTTACTAGATGAAAATAATTGGAATAAGTGAGAAAAACAGCTCGTAGAAATAACCTAAAAATATAGTTGATTGGAAGTCCTTAGGTTTGTAAACTCTGTAGAATCCAAACCAAAGCATAAATGGATAGGATGCATATAAGCAAGCAGCCTAAAAGCAAGTTCGCTTCTTAAATCTTTTGAGATCTTCTTAGTTTGCAGGTTCTCTAGCAGAATTGAAGTTCTAAAGATTCATCATATCAGTATTGTACTTAGCAACATTCTGATAAAAGAATACTATAGTCGTAATTAGAATAAGTACTACTCTCATTATGATAACTCCAATATAAGAGTCAAACATTGTCTATGAAGCAAACTCTTGCTTAGCAAAGTATAGAATCTATCCTACTAATGCAAATAAGGACATAATCCCTCCAATAAATCTTATCAGGTAAATAATCTTGTCATATATACTACTTGATGCATCTCCCAGCACCCCGTGATTGTTATTCCTTTCTACCTACTCACCAATGATGTCTTTACCATTCTAGGGAAACCTCATGCTCAGCGAATTACTGTTATACAGATACTTCATAGAATTCGATTTATTAGACTCTGTTATGTTTTTCATTTCAGGTCCATCATCCAGCTCTCCTTCTAGAATTTTTTTATTAGAATTAGTTGCTGCTCCTCTCTTTGATGAGCTTAGTTTAGATTATGATGTCTGTCTTTTTCCATCAGCACTAAGAAAGAAATTATTAAAAAATGAGAAAAAGTGGTTTGGAAAAAAGATGAATAGGATTATTATTACCTTGCAATAACCTGATCATCTTTGCCTTCTTTTTTTGTTTATAATATTTGTGAAGACCTGCCAGAATCCCGATCTGAATATATAATCATTGAAAGGAATAATTTACTTGTTGGTGAACCACCTGTCTTCCTTGTATTAAGAGTAAGATTATCAATATTTCTAACATCAATCTTGACTTAGTTGAAATCTACTGGCTCGATGACTTCTTCTTCTTCTTGAAATTGTGTGTTGTCCATTATCTGACTAGGATATTCAGAGACATTTGGACTGTGCAGCCAACTCTTATCTGACACCTTGGAATAAGTTGGAGCTTTTTCACTTTTATCTGCGACACCAGGAGAGCTCTTATCTCTGTTATCCATTGGGTATGACATTATTCTTAGTTTTTAACAAGTTTAGATTATTAAAATGGGAAATTTAGAATTTTAAGTATCAATACTGGATGGTTTGATATGAATTATAAAATTAAAGAATTACGAAAAATTATTACTATTATTATAGATGGGTTTTGGGGTTTTGGGGTTTTGGGGTTTTG